AAAAAGTACTCTTGGGTTACCACACATTGTCTCGCGTCACTGACAGTCACTGTAGACGGTTATCGCGGCAAGGAGAACTGGTGAGCGTTACTTGAATTAACCATTTAGGTGCAATAGACCAGCCTGGATTGCTTTTGTCGCAACCAGGCTTCCACACGTGATATTTCCATGGGGATAACAAACCTAGGTTAACACACTTAGTCTTGTGTCGATCACGGTCACTGTAGACGGGTGTCATGCAGGAGAACTCTGTAAGCGTGAATTAATTAACCATTTACTGTAGGTTTGATAGGCCAGCCTGGATTGCTCTTGTCGCAACCAGGCATCCACACGTGATATTTCCACGGGGATAACAACCTAGGTTAACACGCTTAGTCTCGTGTCGACGACGGTTCACAGGACAGAGTGGCGGTGGAGGACTCTGTGTGGTGTGGTGTCCCGCCCCCTTTCTGGAGGGAGAGGATGGAGACGACATCTTAACTAACCCATGGCTCAGGGGATACTACTTAAAATGAGGTTTTTGGGTGTGAAGCGATGAACAGTACAACACTGTTTCACTGCCCACCCCCCTAAAGGCTGGCTAACATACACTAATTGAAAAATACATGTCCCAGTTATGCCTCGCCGGGCGTCTTATCTCTGGTAAAACAAACTTTGGAGTTGGTTGCGTGGGTAAGCCTAACGCAACCCATGACAACGCATTGGCCTGGTGTCCCTTTCTGAGACACGGGAAGCAGTAGCGCAATCGTTGCACAGTTCGGGTTTCTTTCAGATACTGCCATAGTATGAAACTTGTGGCAATGATTTAAGTTATGATCTTCTGAGCAGAGCGAGCAAGCCTTGCGCTCTGCGCCCGTGACAGCCAGCCCTACAGCATGCCTGCTAGCATTATTGCGGCACATTGTCTGTCTCTGGCTCCCCTTGTTTCTATGTATGCCTCTCTTGCATTTCTAGTGGCCTTCTGTATGAAAACCCAGAGATATTCTAACCCTGGTTCCTTTTTCTCCTTGAGCTTGAAACTCCTCCATTTGCTTGGGTATTTCTCTCGCAAGTGACTGGGTAACTTTTCAACCAGCAACTATTTCCCCAATAGATTGTCAATTTGCCACAGTGCACTGTAGGGCTCTAAGTTACAGATACATACATTCAGCCTGTCTGCTAGGCATTGAAGTCCCTCCCTGTTATTAGTACGCACTGAAGGGGTCAACATCAGGTCCTGAATCTGTTCACGAATAAAGGCATCTTCTCCACCAAATCATATCCGCAGTGTTTTTAGAGCCCGTTGATAGCCGTTTTCTACAGTACTACTGTATGTGAGTATAAGTGGTCTTGAATTTCTTAGGAACAAGCCTGCTGCAGGATGTGCATTTTTTCAGGATCAGACATCTGGATCTTGTCTACAGCATCATTGAAGCAACGCATAAAGCTCAAATACTCGCGACGGCTTTTCCCTTTCAAGGTAGGAAGGCGTATGTCTCAGGAGTGCAAGGCTGACATAACCCTGTCCAGCACCTTCCATGGTTCCTTACTCTTTATATCTGCAGACTGTGATGGGTATAACCTCATTTTGCCAATAGTAGCCTCTTTCTTGGGTGTGGTCGTATCACCTTGGTTTCTTCCATGGCTCCTCTTTTCCCTTACCGGTTGATCCTCCTCCCCAATGAGGCCGTGCATCTGCCTCAAATTTGCTCTGTTGGGTCTTCTTGACAGGGCCATTACCCTTCCTTGTAGCTACAAGTTTGACTATACTTGTTTTGGAGATGAACTCTTCAATGTAGCTTTCCAGACCTTCCATCAGTGCATTCCTCCAATGGTCTCTGGTTTCTGGGTTTTGGCTAGTTCCTGGTTGGGGTGAGTCGTGCCTATTGCTGACAGATGGTACACTTTCCAGTTCATCTTACTCTTCCATTGTGGGGCCAGCTAGTAGTGGTTGTTCATCGTTTTCCACATCTAGATCAATTTCTTGTGGCCACTCATTGTTTTCTATGTCCGCCATTTCGTCCGGTTGGGTGAGGTTGTTTGTGATTTGTGGTGGTGCATGGGCACAGTTCAGCTGGTCCTGGCAATAGCAAGCAAGCGCACACTGATGTGCCTGGGGGCTGGTTTGGCAATAACAGCAAGTGCACTGATGTGTCTGGGGGACTGATACAAGCGCACAGTTCTGCTGTGCCTTGGGAGTTGGTACACCCGCACACTTCTGCTGTGCCTTGGGGTTTGGTACAAGCGCACACTTCTGCTGTGCCTTGGGAGTTGGTAAAAGCGCACTTCTGCTGTGTCTTTGGGGTTGGTACAAGTGCACACTACTGCTGTGCCTTGGGGGTTGGTACAAGTGCACACTACTGCTGTGCCTTGGGGGTTGGTACAAGCGCACACTTCTGTTGTGCCTTGGGGTTTGTGGTTCTGACACTTGAGGTACACTTGCTTTAGTTGAGTATATAAGTTGTTTTGTGAGTAGCTCCAACGATCATATACCTTCTACCTCTTCTACCTGTACACTGATGAAGTCTTAAAACTAGATCAAGCTCATATCACCCTTGCAAACTAGGCAAAGACCAAAGATCACATGACCTCAACCATTACCTTTTGGCTGTATGGAAATGAGATGTGTAATTCTAGCAGCGCTGTTCCATCAGACCGTTCTAACAGATTAAATCCAATTCATTATTGATACAGGTCTTACTTACGGCATGGTTTCAGATACCAGTGGTTTTGTTTACTAGATAATCGAATGTATATTTGTATCATATGAACATTACCTCTCTAAATTTCATTACAAGCCAAGTCAGAGGGCAGGCGCTTAATCGTCTTCCTCTCTTTTGTTGTTTGATATCCTCTTGCAGGGCATATATAATGCTCTGTCAATAAACCGTTTAAGTATCAATATCACTATCGTCAACAAACATATATACTGCTCATTAAACAGTATAAGTATCAATATCGATATTGCCGATAATTCTCCATTTGAAACTGAAGAATATAAGACCCTGGCTGTAACTGTTTATTAATGTACATATACATTTTAATTAATGCTTACGAAGGTAAAACAAAAATTATACCCACCAATAGTGGTAAAGCTGAAAACATAATGACATATTGACATAGCCAATGTTGTTGAGTTTTTACTCAAATGATGACAAAGTGCCTAAATTGTCAGTTCTCTCTCTTAGCTTTTGAACCAGCACTACCATCACTTGCTCTCTTGTTCATGTTGAATAGGGGTGCAAAAATGCAGTAAAATACCTGAGAAAGTTTTTATCCTGATTTGGTTCAAATATGTGGAAAAGAAAAGCCCGCCAAGCAGCAACTGGGTTTTTTTTGGGGGGGGGGGGGAACCCCCTACCTCCTGTGCAAGGTGAAGCGCAGAAGCGTTCACAGTGCCCAACAGGGAAGCATGCTAAGTTCTTGCTTGCCTTTATGTCTCATGAGTTAAGGGAGTAGAAGCCTGAAGAGTCAATGGTTTTTATGTCATTAAGTTATTGGAAGCTCCAACAATTTTACTTGAATACGAATTTGCAACTTTTCAATTTACAACAGGTACCTACTTACTGCTAGGTGAACAGGGACCAAGGGGGCTAGGAAGAGTGTCCAAACAACTTCCGCCGGGCCGGGAATCGAACCCGTGACATCTTGCTTGTGAGGCAAGAGCGGTACCGCTCTACCACCAGCACCCCACTGTTTCTGTTAGTGACATCACCAGACTGGCAACCTGGAAATGTTTGTGTGCAAGGCTTTCTTTTATGCTTAGTATTTGTACATTACTGTACAGTATATTAGTTATTATTTATATGTGAAAATGTAATTTTATTTCATTTTTTATTCTCTATTTTTCATCGTAATCAAATGAAATAACGATGCAAATGGAATCAGATCATAAACTAAGCAGGGTTTTAAATATGAATCATCATGATTCAAGGTTTTCCATATAAGGTAGAACCATCATTCGTTGAACAACTGAAAGCTTGTATCTATAGTATTTCCATGCCAACCTGACCCATAAGCCACACCCCTCTTCTATACTAATAGCTGATTGGTTCATAGATTATTCAAACTAAATGTGTTCATAATTGGTAAGCAGACCTGTTATTCTCTAAAATAATGTTAAATATCTGGACTATCAAAATGTAAATGATTTCAAGGCATTAGCTCTTCAAAGAGGTTGTTAGAAAATTTTAAATGTTTATCATAAAAGGTCGATATAAATACAGTACGCGTGTCCGAGGGGAGGTAAAATGCTCAGAGGAACCAATCAGCTATTTGTAGCTATAAACGAGGGGTGTGGCTTATGGGCCAAGTTAGCGTGGAAAGGGTATAGTTAGGCATACCTACTGTCCTGATGTACTCGTGGTTGCACATTTAGTATACTACTCGGTTCATTGGCTAGGCTGGGAAAATAATTGTTTCTTAGACTGTACATTGTTTATAGTATACCTACACTGTATTGGCACATAGTTTGTGTACCTGCACTGTCATGTACAATTATACTGTACAGCATTTTATACCTACATTGCCTATACTGTATACCATTATACATGTTGAATCAATGTAAACTTTTATGATGATCTATAATGAATAAGTATTTAACTATCTGTCAATCTGTCTTTCTTGTTTGTTTGTCTACCTACCTACCTACCTACCTACCTACCTACCTACCTACCTACCTACCTACCTACCTACCTACCTACCTACCTACCTACCTACCTACCTACCTACCTACCTACCTACCTACCTACCTCCTCCCTCCCCTACTCCCTCCCTCCCTCCCCTCTCTCCCTCCCTCCTCCCTCCCTCCCTCCCTCCCCTCCCCTCCTCCTCCTCCCTCCCCCTCCCTCCCTCCCTCCCCTCCCTCCCTCCCTCCCCCCTCCTCCCTCCCTCCCTCCTCCCTCCCTCCCTCCCTCCCTCCTCCTCCCTCCCTCCCCTCCCTCTGTCTGTCTGCCTGTCTGTCTGTTTTTCAATAATTTTTTATATTTCTGCTGTGAAAAATCCTTAATTTTTTTTTTCAGGCTTTGTACAGCATTCTGCAGTATGTTATTCCTCAAGTGTCTCTGCAGACTGAAGTAACACCGCTGTTAGAAAGAATTTATTTATCATTATTTGTTGCCTTGACAAGTGAAAAATTACCATCTGATTGTGCTTTGATAACTGCAACATCCCTCTGTCTCACTGTTTCTTGTCTAAAAACAGAGAATTTTGAAGTTGAATTTCTGCATATGTTATCAACCCTCCATGAATTGCAGTTGAATGATACTGGAAAACATTCTGAATGTTCAGTCGAAGGGGTATTAGAGTCTTTTAAAAAAGGTGATAAACCCTTGAGAGAGAGGCTTGGAGATATTAAACCAGCATACCCAGTTGCATTGCTGCTTCATGGTCTTTTCAATTCAGATGTGCAATGGATATATAATTATGGAAACTGGAGTGATATATTCTTGAAATTACAATCAGCACCAGGGAAAGAGCATGGTAATGACTCTTATTTGGATTACAACCCAAGCTCAAGGCAGTGTGATAAACAACCTCACCCACAAGACAGCAATGTTGGTGAAGTTGGAGGCATTTTCTTATATGAGATTTACATAGTCATCAGAAAGCTGTGTAAAGGTGCTACCAGTTATACATTTCAGGCTTTTCAGGTAAGGAAGAAACTCACTCATAAGGGAAGAGATACCCCTAGTTGACAAAATAGGTTGGTTTATACTACGGGTATATTAAAACTTCTTCAATAATAAATATATATACACAATTACTGAGTAAGTGGAGCATAACTAAAAAAAATTTTTTTTATCTTTTTTTATATAGTGAATCTCCTGAAAATGTCATGGGAATAAGTATCGGTGGGAGTACAGGTTGACAACCCCTTATTTGAAATTACGAAAACCTCTGAAAACCGATTTTTTTTTTTTTTTTTTTTAAACAGTGATTAGCCCACCCGGGCACAGGTCACTGACCCACATCGGGGCCTGGGGGGCGAAAATTTAATAATAATTATAATAATAATAATAATAATAATAATAATAATAATAATAATAATTATTATTCATAGTAAATATAATTTATAATAAAAATAACTAAAATAAAATAATAATGATAACAATAATAATAATAAAATAATAATAATACAATTAATTATAATAAAAATAATAACAATAATACTATAATAAAATAATAATAATAATACAGGTAATAATAATAATAATAATAATAATAATAATAAAGAAATACAAGAATGAAAAACAGATCAAAAGTGAGAAACACGACCTAAACCTATGAATAATTATTATTATTATTATTACTATTATTATATAATATTATTATATTTTCACCTCCTATGCCCCAATATGGGTCAGTGACCTGTGCCCGGGTGGGCTGATCACTGTATAAAAAAAAAAAAAAAAAATAACCATTCCGAAATCCGAAAAATTCCGAAATCCAAAATGCATCTGGTCCCAAGGATTTCGGATAAGGGATTGTCAACCTGTAGCAGCAGTAATGTGTAGTTGAATGAAAAATAATATATCTAAAAAGACTTTCATAGATATTTAGTAGATATTTAAGGATTTATTTTTTACCTAGATTGTTAATGTGAAGTAGAATGTTGCTTCAATCACATTATTATTTTTGGCAATTTTTTAAGTCATAATTACAGGAGAGGTGTAAAAAAGAATACATATTGGTTTGTTCAAATCTAATTTACATAATTTATTGAGATAATTAAGGGTAATGATCTTTTGTACGAAGGTAATACATTGCCCTTCAGAAGGCACTGCTCCTGGTCTACAGAGTTAAAAAGATTGTCAAACTAATTAGTGGTTGCATATGAGTTTTTTTTATTTTATGATTTACAGGTACAAACAGTCATGAACAAAAGTCCTGTCGCCTCTTTTGCTGCTCCACGAACCCCGAAATTCAGACTCATGAACCCAAATCAACCATTGACAGAATAATGCACCTGTGTCTAATACTTCAGGTTCACAAGTCTGAATCTCAGGGATCGTGGAGCAGCAGGAGAGGCGGCAGGACTTTTGTTTGTGACTGTACACGTACTGTACTTGAAAGTGATCTGTGAGTTCCATGCTGTTCAATCACATGGCAGAAGCTGCCTTTGCCAGAGGGTCTGGGTATGTTTAAGGGTAGATCATGTTACACTCAAAGTCAAGAATTTCTTCAGATCAGGGATTGAAGGATACATCCGACAGTATACATACTGTACTGTACTTAATTGTTCAAAACCTTTTTAGCCATAAGAATGAAGTTTGCACTCATGGGGAGGGATTTTTGCTAATTTGCAATGCATTCAGAACATTTTTCCCAATTATGACTCCTTATCTTAAGCTGGTTTAAATGTCATAGGTCTTATGTGAACTGTCGTAGGACATAAACTGTAGGTTGATGAACAAAATTTTCTTTTTTATGCTGAGGACATGAACAAGAGATGTATATTATCACCCTCCACCCTAGAAAAAATTCATGAACTAGAAGGGAATTGAGGGCTGGGGTGTGAAATCCCATTTAGTCATGCTGAGGTTTATGGTGGGTAAACCTGAGAGTTAGAATAATTCCTGATCTAGTGCTTCATTGATTATATAGACAACAGCTGAAACTAGATTGAAATCCAGATTTGGTGTTGTTTCAACGAAATGATAAAGGTTATAGGTGTTTTATTTGTAGGAAAACAATATCTGTTTTGATAGCTTATCTGGAGTTTACATGCATCTTAGGCACTGACAGCCTTTGCCTGCTTTGTGATGTTTGGTCATACATAGGTCAATTGTTGTCTTGTTGGCCATAGAATTGGATTTTATATCTCAATCCTTGATTTTGTCAGGTGCTGCGTTTGTGGCTGACTTGCGTGAGGGAGTTGGGCAACAGGATGCGGAAAGACTATGATGAAGTGCTAACACAACATTTCCAAGAGTGTTCAGTGTCTGAAGGGTGTAATGATTATAATCTGTATCACTATAAAAAAAATCTACCATCTGGAAAATGGATATTTACTACTCTGTCCAATCAGGATACTGTGTTTCATCTGTTGAATTCTAATTGGGAGAATCCCTCAAAGGGTATGAATAATGAGACTACTGTACCAGTTCGTTGTTTTATATTTTTATTTACTCATCACCTCTGATTTATATTTTGATAAGTACTGTATTGCCTATTTACAACTTCAAGTAGGCTTAACACTTTATTGATGATGAAGATATTTTATCTGGTTTCTTTAACAATTTTAAAATCACAATAGTATTGTTATATACTGTACTGTACTACACACACACACACACACACAGTAATATCTCCGTTAGCCGGAATCCCTCAAACCCGGAAATCTCTGATAGCCGGAATTGAAATTTGCTTAGAAAATCATTCCCAAAGCTGGAATTTTCCAAAAATTTACGGCTTTAGGAATAAATTTTCCGAGGTTGAAAATCGAGAGAATTTTCTGAAAATGTCTTGAATAAAGATGAAAGTTAAAGTATTTTCTGGGGGGGGACCTGTCCTCAATGTCAGGTGGAGGTAGGGTGAGGGATTAGTGGTCTCATATTACTGACCTCCTGAGGAATGTCAGGTCGCCCTTTTTGGGTGGGGATTAGTGAGTCTCATGACCTGAAGATGTCTTGAACAAACATAAAACCTAAGTATTTTTAGGGAGATTGTGATAAGTATAAGTTTAAATGAGCAAAGTTGTATCCCTTCAACATTACATTACATAACATTTTAAAAAATGGAGTGAGAAAGCAGAAAGGTGTGGGTGATTAGAGAGATAGAGTGGAAAGGAGTGTTGCCAAGCACTCCTCGACAGCTAATATTTCCGTTAGCCGGAATCCCTCAAACCCGGAACTCTACGATAGTCGGAATTGAAATTTTCTCAGAAAATCGTTCCCAACGCCGGAATTTTCTGGAAAATTCTGGCTTTGGGAATGATTTTACGAGGGGCAAATTTTCCCGATACCCGGAAAATTTCGGGGATGGGAGAGTGTTTCCGGGTTTAAGAGATGAAAATCAGCTGCATCTTCTGGAAATTCTGAGAAAAATTTTCTGTTACCTTGAAAATTCTGGGGATGAGGGATATTTTTCTGGGTTCAAGAGATGATGTGTTGGACAATATCTGGAACTTAAGAGAACATTTTCCATTAGGTACCCGGAAAATTCCGGGGATGAGGAATTTTTTCCGGCTTTGAGAGAGTCGTCTCGTTACCTGGAAATCTCTCATTCTCGGAAGTGCTCAGCACCAATTGCTCCGGCTAACAGGGATATCACTACAGCGTGTATATATATATATATACAGTATTACCTCGCTTTACACGGTTTCACGCTTTACACGGTTTCACTTTCCGCGATTTCTCATTTACTCGGTACCTTGCCAGAACCAGACTTTCACTTTCCGCGGTGCATCTACTCATATACACAGTGAAGTATAATTTTTTATTTTATTTTTTTATTTAGCTCATAAAATTCATGCAAATTACCCGGCCAGAATATAATTTACATTGCTGGAATTCTTACAATATGATGATCATTTTGAATAAAAACATCATGGATTTTGCATTAGACGTACAAATTTTAGATCTAATGTAATAATTTGGTTTACACAAAGCAAATATTTTATCTTTTGTGCAGAATATATGAAGTTTACATTCAAAATATTCCCTGACCTGCAAGGAATCCAGAAATGTCAATTATATTATTCCAACTTTAGTCTGAGTTATTATTTATTACTAAAAATGTAAATATACTATTTTCTCCCAATCGCTACTCTGGTAGGGAGGGAGGGAGGGAGGGACCAACCCAGCTAGGGCGGAGTATTTTGATTGACTGATAGTGTCCTTGAAGAATATTTCTTTGTTTATTTACTGAAGATATACGGTATGTTTTAGCTCATAAAATTCATACAAATTACCCGGCCAGAATATAATTTACATTGCTGGAATTCTTACAATATGATGATCATTTTGAATATAAACATCATGGATTTTGCATTTGACATACAAATTTTAGATCTAAAGTAATAATTTGGTTTACACAAAGCAAATATTTTATCTTTTGTGCAAAATATATGAAGTTTACATTCAAAATACAGTATTACCCCGCCTGACGCGGTTTCACTTAGCGCGTTTTACCGTATACGCGGTGCCTCGCCAGAGCTGAACTTTCACGTTTTTTTCCACGTATACGCGGTGAGTGTCCGGCTCGAGAGCTATTTTTAGATTCGCCCCACCCACCACCCGCCACCCTGCCTGACTGCCTGTTTTAGCTCATAAAATTCATGCAAATTACCCAGCCAGAATATAATTTACATTGCTGGAATTCTTACAATATGATGATCATTTTGAATATAAACATCATAGATTTTGCATTAGACATACAAATTTTAGATATAAAGTTTATTCTGAGTAAATATGTTATTTTTTGTGCAAAATATACGACATTTGTATTCAAAATATTCCTGGTCTTACAAGGAATCCAGCAATGTCAATTATATTATCCTAACTTTAGTTTGAGGTATTATTTATTACTAAAAAGGTAAATATTCTGGTTTTCCCGCACATCTGGTGGGACGGTTGGTGGGGGGTAGGGGGGAGGGAGGGACCGACCGACCATCTGTTACCCTGTGAAGAATATTTTTTTTTTTTATTAACTGAAGATATTTGTTTTAGCTCATAAAATTCATTAAAATTACCTGGCCAGAATATAATTTACATTGCTGGAATTCTTACAATTTGGTGATCATTTTGAATATAAACATCATAGATTTTGCATTAGACATACAAATTTTAGATATAAAGTTTACTCTGAGTAAATATGTTATTTTTTGTGCAAAATATATGACATTTGTATTCAAAATATTCCTGGTCTTACATGGAATCCAGCAATGTCAATTGCATTATCCTAACTTTAGTTTGAGGTATTATTTATTAAAATTTAGTGGTTTTCCCCCCAAAATTTCTCAGAGAGGGAAGAGCCAGCAGTGTTGTGTGAGAAGAGGGGGAGGGAGTTGAGTCCATTATTCGAATGGACATTAACTTGGCGACTGTATTTCTCTATTTCTCTTAAGTATTAATTGTGTGCATGTACCATCATAAAATTAAGATGTTATTTTTACTAGAACATAGGTATTGTGTCGGAAAAAGTGGGGTTTGGGGATGGGCCGGTTTCTATTGGAATTAATCCCATATGTTCTGTTGTTCACTTAGCGCGGTTTTCACTTAACATGGTACCCTCTGGGTTTTATTGACCGCGTTAAGTGGGGTACAACTGTATTCCCTGACCTGCAAGGAATCCAGAAATGTCAATTATATTATCCTAACTTTAGTCTCTGGGTTTTATTGACCGCGTTAAGTGGGGTACAACTGTATTCCCTGACCTGCAAGGAATCCAGAAATGTCAATTATATTATCCTAACTTTAGTCTGAGGTATTATTTATTACTAAACGTTAAAATCTAGAGTTTTCACCCAAACATTAATCAGAGGGGTAGGAGTTAGTGAGCTGGGAAGAGGGGGGGATTTGAGTCCATTATTTGAATGGACATTAACCTGGCGACTGTATTTCTCTTAAATATTAATTGTGTGAGCATACCATCATAAAATTTAGATGTTATTTTTACTACAACATAGGTATTGTGTCGGAAAAAGTGGAGTTTGGGGTTCAGGCCAGTCTCTATTGGAATTAATCCCATATGTTCTGTTGTTCACTTTACGCAGTTTTCACTTTCCGCGGTACCCTGTGGGTTCAATTGACCGCGTAAATCGGGGTACTACTATATATATATGTATATATATATATGCTTATAACCACAAGGAAAGAAGAAAACACGAAGTTCCCAAGCGCTTTCGTGTAATTCACATCTTCAGGGGTGGGTACAGTCTGTACCCACTCCTGAAGATGTGAATTACACGAAAGCGCTTGGGAACTTCGTGTTTTCTTCTTTCCTTGTGGTTATCAGCATATACCTAGATCACGCCCACCTACAGTGATTTACTTGCATATAGTATATATGTATATATATATTTCATGTAAATCCATATATATATATATATATATATATATATATATATATATATATATATATATATATATATATATATATATATATATATATATATATATATATATATATTATAATGTTTGTCATTTTTATTTTAATAAAATCAGGAGTTAGTGATGTTGTATATGTCTGCATGGTTGAGCTGCTAGAACTACATGAAGATGATGCTCCAGACCAGGCAAAGAGCGTGGCTAGTTCTATGGTCATGTCACTTTCATCTTCTGATGCCTGGACGTCAAAGAGTACTTACCCACCTCTTGCTCTTGCAGTATCCTATATTGGGGCTCAAAAAGTAAGTTATCATTTGTCAGCTACACATTAATATTAGTGTCGTTCCTTTGTAATTCCTTCTTCTTGCCTTTCTCACAGTCTTTAGCCATACCTAACAAATTTATTTTTAGTGCTTGTTCAGATCAGCTCACACTTTCCATCACTTAGTTGATCAAGCACTTTATTAAAAGTGCCAAAAATTTAAAAAACATTTTGTAGCACTAGTAAGTATCTGTATGAGACCCTGTGAAATGCTCCTCTGCCAGGCATACCAAAATCAGAGCCTTTCAATGCCTGTAAGAGGTGCAGTGAGAGATAGTAGGGATACAATCTATATGAATGATATGTTACTGCAGATGTATAAATTTGTAATACAGGGGGCCCCCCAAATTTGCGGGGGTTAGGTTCTCAAAATGGCTGCGAATCGCCAAATCCGCGAATAACATTTGCGTACCAGGGGTAGGGGGGGGGGGTTACATTTTTACTTGTGTACAAAGAAGTGTATATTCCCTTTGTGTGTTTGCCCTTAGAACAATTATTTCTTTTACCTGTAGTGTGTGTGTGTGTGTGCACAAAACACATACAAATAGTTAATAATGGAAAAATGCTCTTACAAATAGTCAGAAACAAATTTATTTAAAATGTGACAGTCTACCCTCAAGTCCGTGCTCTATTAATAAAGTAATGAAGCACGGACTTGAGGGTTAGACGGTTTCATTTTTAATAAATTTTTTCTCATTATTTGTGAGAGGATTTTGCAATTGTTATTTATTTGTATGTGTCTACACACGTACACATGTTTACAATACAGTTAAACGAATGGCTCCCTGTCCCAGCCACGAAAATGCCGGCAACTTTAAAACTACCCATAGACATTCTTGGGTACATCCACGGTGTCATCCTCAAATGATAGAGGACCGTGAACTTGGGGGGGCCTCCTGTACTTAATAAGAGTTGAAATGAAAAATACCATGTTTTGGGAAAGTTTAGGAAGTTTGGAAAAGGAGGTGACTGGGTAAGGGATTCATTGCCATTTTACTGTACTCTCTTCAGGCAGTTATGCTTTGCCCAAGATTACCAACTGGATTAATGACATCTTTAAGTGTAAACCACCTGGCTCCTGCTGGTACAAAGGTGTACAAGATCATGGTAGAGGGGCTGACTTCATGCCTGTGGTCTGAATATTTCTTCACCATTGTGTGTGAAGCCCTGCACAGTGATGACAGGTTAGAGCAATTTATACTGTAAGGTTTAAGGGGGCAAAAATTATAAACATAACTCATTGCTAACCTAACCTTATTACATGTCACAAAATATTTCTGTTACCCTCATTCAGTCAAAATATTTATCGCCATTGTTGTTATCCAGTCAGACACTCCATGTTGGAGGAAGCTTTAGGAATTGAGCACAAAGACTTAATGTACTGGAGTGCCCAACAAGAGTGTTAGAACTGAGCCCATTCACTACGTCTGCTTATGATTACACTGGAAACAAAGCTGTGTAGTGTTAAACCTTTTCAACTGTAGTGGGATCGTATTAAAGATCACCTTATTTATAAAGAAACTTGTTTCCATATCTTTGCCATTAGTGTTTTTTAAAATGTAAGAAGCTTATACGGTGTGGTATTGAATTGCTAAGAAAGAATGTTACATTGAATAGAGATAGATCAGAAGAAGTGTGTTGTTTCAGATGCTTAGTGCACAAAGGAACAGAGGGAAAGAATATGTTATTGTATATTGAGAAATTTATTGATTAAGATATGAATCAAAGGAGGTGAGATGAGGGGCTACTGGGGAATCACCGAGTTGACATTGTTTTATAGGCTATGGCTAAGGAACTCTGAATGCAAGAGGAAGGGGCAGATTAAAACCAACAGAAAGATGTACTTGAGACCAGTATGTGGGGTAAAATGGTTGCAGATACTGTAATAAGAAGTAAAATTTTGGGGGGGATTTTATGGACATATTGAGTGACAGGAAATGAGTGTATTAACCCCTGTCTAACAGACAGGAATACCTATAGAAATGTGGGTTACATACATTAAGTTTATATAATTACATCACCCACGGTAACTTTCCTATGAGCCGTGAGTAGTCATCAACTGGACATGGGACAGTGTATTCCCACTGTGCCCTCATACCTTGACCACAGAGTCATTAATTAACCCTTAGGCCCCGGGTGACATTCCAGACCAGCCCGCCCCGGGTGACGTTCCGGAACGTCCACCTATTCCCGCCACTTTTTTTTTTAAGTTGATTTTTTCTTTATTTATCCGGGGGGGGGGGTGTTACTGCCAGCAACACCCTAACCTGGGGCTTAAGGGTTAAGTAGCCGACTATCACCAGTTCAACTTCCGTCTCGGAACCACTGAGACGTGTGCTCTAAGAAGCTAGATACTATACCCAAGCTTCGTCCATTATTAACGCTCACAGCTTATAGTTTTAATTACTGTGATATTCCAGTTATTGTGCAATAGTTTATTTTCTTAATAAATGGAGAAAAGACCATTTGGGTTTCAAAACTTAATTCATAAACATTTATGAATGTTGCTTCTTGTTCATCTCTAATTAGCAGTTCCACGGGTAACCAGAAACTGCAACAAGCGCTTGGTCAAAAGAGTGTAGGAATGAGAAAGGTAGTTGTTGAGAAATTGAAAGACAATTAGGAGGTAGGGAAATTTTCATCCTGGAAGCAGCAGTTTGTGTTAATGAAGGGAGAACATGGTATCAAGTAGTTTATGGGGAGATCACAGCAGTTGGAGTGAATGAAGGGAGAGTCTCTGTTGACTTATATTTCTGGCAAAATCAAAAGATGCACTTTTGTTTATCAAATTTACGGTTTGTGATGATGTTGAACCATCTGCTCGTTTGATATTTCGAAGGCATCACTTATTCTTTACATTCCTAAGGAGTTTAGTTTTTCAATAAATGTATCTTGTAGGCTAATTTGAATGTAGGAATCCATATTCACATTGTTCAAAAAAACTTTAATAATTGTAGTCTTGATAAATTATTTGCATATTATATAGAAACTATAGTAGAAAAATGTGCAGAGAAAGCATTTTGTGAGAGATTCCCCAATGTATTATTCACAATAAATGGCTATAAAGTAGAATGCTAGAAAACACTGGAATGAGAACAAAAAAATCCTTGCAAATATAATATAAATGAGAATCATGGAAATACAGTAGCTGCAAAGGAACATAAAATATAATACTGTACAGTAAAGAAGAAATGAGGAAGGAGACACATGTCCTAGCAAGACAAGAGTAGGGCAGAATTTACAGATGTTACTCTAATTGTAGTGAGTGATGCCAGTTGAAAACACCATAGTACATAATGTACTGTAGTGTATGCACTGTAGATTATTTCATAGCTAGTGGTCACATACTTGACTTTTGTTCATGTGATTTTGTTATTTACAGGCTGACCCAGCAGAATGTGAGGTCATTATGGTTACCACCAACACTGCGACAGTATCCAAGGATATATCTTGAGCTCCTCAGTGGCTGTGAAGACACTACTGGTGGATGGGTGGCACGAATGGCAATTTTAAGGGTTGCTCGCTCCCTTGGTTCTTTAAGTTTAAAGGAACATGATACAGCTCTTGATCATGAAGAATTAAGTAATTTGCATGTGCAGAAATCATTTAGTTCATTAAATGCTTACAGTGAAATCAAGGGAAGTAGTTCTTCTGTGAGTGTTGAAAATGAATATTATATAAAGAAACAAGTGATTAATCTTTGTGTACTATCATACCTCAAGCCAGCGCTTAGCCACTTGGATGAGACAGTACGAGGAGAAGCTCTGTCTTTTCTCTGCCATACCCGGAAGGCCTCAGAACCTGTCTCACTTGAAGAATCATCTTACCTAAAATGGTTTTTCAAGTATAACATGAACATTGATTCAGCACCTTTCAGACAAGGTATGATAAAATGCTACAAGGCTCTAGTGGCCAGGTTACGTGATGCCTCTGCTACTGAACTAAAAAAGTTGTCTTTCAGAGTTTTAAATTCAAAAGATTATTCTTCAGAATTTGTTAGAAATCTTAAAGCCAATCCTGTTCTTCAGACCAACACTGAACTTCTGGTATGGTTTATAAAGTTGTTTCACAGTAACTTAGCACCAGATGGTAACTACCAGCGAAGGATACTCTCCCTTCTGCTCTACAAGGAAACCCTTTTAGCATTTTATGAAAAGAAAACTTTTATGACATATTCAGTACCTCCAAGGTACATGACAGTGTGTGCATATATTAATCTCACCAATAGTAAAGAAGTCTGTGATGAGGAAAGTCAACCTATCACAGACCTGTCCTTACCTTGGACTCTGGAAATGCTACTCTGTTCCTGTTTGGATGAAATGAATAACATTAGAGATGAAGCAGAGAACATTTTAAAGATTATGGAGTCATCTAAGAATGCTGTATGCTACTACAAGGCAGAAGAGTGGCTGCAGCGAGGTCTGACACTTTGTAACTCCCCTAAGGCTAGTGATGCTGAGAGTGGAGCAACCTTGGTGAAGGTGGTATCATCATCTTACTACAATGGTGGTCATGACATCTCTACTCTTCTAAAGGTAAACAACTTGCTGTTAAATTTTGTAAGTGTAAGTCCATATGTAACATATAACTATGAATATCATTGAGAAAAATTGATAAAATTGATAGAAACTGAATTGCTTTTGTACAGGACATTTGCAAAGATTCAACCAAAGGAAAGATTAGCAACAGAGTACTACAGTAGAATTTAAGAAAATTTTGAGAATCGTTGCAGCAGAAGCGGAGACTAGAAATGTATATGTAACTTTTGTCTAATTACTGTACAGTAAGTCCCCATTGAACGTTAATCCTTTGAACGAATCCACACTATAGCGAAAGCAAGTTTTTACTACCTATGTGCTGATTAATGAAAGATTGTTCTACTATTACGAAAGGTAAGTCACCTTCACCTTTCTGCTTCCTCACCACCAGCTCCACGATCACCGCCATCATCACCACTACCTCTATTATCACCACCTAAATCATAATGTCACCTTCCTCCCACCCACTGCATCTCACCGACACTCTGCCTCTCTCATTGGCACTGCCTGTCTCACTCATTCTACTATGATATTCATTCATGATACAGTAATATATTCATTAGCCGGAATCCCTCAAACCCATAACTTTCCGATAGCCAGAATTGAAATTTTCTCGGAAAATTGTTCCCAAAGCCCGAATTTTCAGGAAAATTCCGACTTTGGGAACGATTTTCCAAGGGACACATTTTCCGGAAAATTACGAGAAAATTTTCCCAATACCCGGAAAATTCCGGGGATGAGGGATATTTTTCCGGGTTCGAGAGATGATGTAATTGTCAATTTCTGGAACTTCCGAGAACATTTTTCCGTAACCCGGAAAATTCCAGGGATGAGGGATATTTTTCCGGGTTCGAGAGATGATATAATGAGCAATTTCTGAAGCTTCCAAGAACATTTTTCCGTTACCCACGAAAAATTTTGGGACGAGGGATTTTATCCGGCTTTGAGAGATTCGTGTCGTTACCCGTAAATCTCTCATTCCTGGAAGTGCTCTGCACCAATTGTTCCGGTTAACGGAGATATTACTGTGGTACAATATTGTACAATACTATACATTGTTAATTTGTTATTTTCAATCCTTAATTTAAAATTTATGTAACGTAATATAGAAAGAATACAACGTTGTTCATTTTCACTTACACTTAATTTTGTTGGTAGACATCATCTGTTCAATTGTCTGGCAGTCCTGCAGCCAGTGTTACCGTTTAAACCGACTGTCGCATCACCTCCTCACCACCTACCACCTTCCTTCCTCCGTTCCACCCACTGCATCTCACCGACACTCTGCCTCTCTCTCATTTTACTATGACTGTCATTCATGATGCAATATTGTAGAACAAAAATTACTGTATTGCTAAACCAGTAAATAAAAGCCAAATGAAAGTTTAACACAGTCGCCATTTGCAGACACTCCCTGCTTCACCATAGTAACAGACATGAACTGGGAGGTACCTCCTCCATCTCCCTGGCAATGCCCCCCCCCCCCTGCTACACTCGGCACCCTACTCCCTCATTGAGCCAGCTAACAACTCACAGCTTGGCCCATTAGTTTGGAGTTTACAATGATGAGTCTAACCTAGCTACAGTGCCATGATTAATCACTATTAAGCACTATTCTATCAGTAAACACTGATAATAACTGTAAATCCAGTGAAATATGGCAGGGAGTAATGAGAGTTACAACTGCAGGTAACGCTCAACTGAGGGTCACTCACTCCTTTTCCCGCTCCCGTTGCCAGGCGCAGCCAGGCGTACATATGGGGGAAATGGATATCTTGTATGTAGTCTTGATAAACAAATCATATAAACCATGCATTTTCCTGCGATAACATAATAAGAATCATTGTCTCCTTACTAGAGTGAATGAATTAATGTTCCCACAAACAACAATTGACAACTCTGTTTATGTACCTTTATGTTTAACATATTTTATTGTTTTTATCTTCAGTATTTTGATGTGTTGCAATTATTTTGTCACAGAGCTTAGTCCAGTATATTAATCTATCACAGAGCTTAGTGCAGGAACACATACCCCCTTATTGCATTAGTTTATATGGGAAAAATTGTTTCGATGAACATAAATCACCTAACGAAAGCATTTTAGTGGAACCTAACCCTTTTGTTCAACGGGGACTTAATGTAATCATCTTTTTCATTTACCTCCAGAATATGGAAAGGAGCAGTGAGTCACACAGCTTGATCAGTTTCTTATTTGACTGTGTGGAGGGTCAGTTTAAGATGGCACAGAATAATCTTCTAGAAGCTGCCAGAAGAACCCCTATTCATGGTTCCTTGTTGGTAAGTTGTGTTGGGTGAAGATTAACCCATTCACCATGGGGATGCCACTTTTGATATTTCGTTTGGCTAACACCGGATGATTTTATTCAGCTCAGAGCAAACTCCATACACAAGGTGGCTAAAGGTGAGGTGGAATATAAGACAAATGGAAATGTCAATGCCAGGGTTTTTTTTCACTCTTGCTAGCCTTCTCTCACTACTTTGTATGGTGGTCCCAACAAAGAGCCAATTCTGAGTTTCATTATGTGCTGGCAGCCATTCATTCTTGTATAACACTTATCCCCTGTCCTAAGGATTGCTAGTTTATGTCTTGGGCATTTTCAGTCCATCCAGCTGTAAATGGATACAGTACTGTACTTAACTTTACAGTTAGAAAACTGAAGGTGATCGAGTGCAGTACTGGCCATGCTACCTCCTTGTGTATTGTTCTGAGGGTACTGCATGTCAAAAATTCTAAACCTGTAAGAAACAAACTGGATTAATATACTGTACATGTAATATTCATTACTGTATTTTGATAATAGTGGTAGGGTATCTGACAAGAAACAAGACTCATCACACCTACATTCCTGTATGAATCAGACTCAGTACTTTGTGATTAATGCTGGTAAGTTTTTATCCACAGTGAAGAATTCACTAAGATGTACATTTAATAAAAATCATGCTATTAATGTACAATCAAAGACAAAAGTCGTGTCGCGGTTTTGTCCGAAATTTAAATATAACTCATGAAACATTATGAGAGCCCCCTACCAGAAGGCAGAGTGCACCAAAAGTGTAGCTCTTTGGCATATGTTTTCATCAAATTCCACGACATGACTTTTGTCTTTCATTGTACATTTACGGTATATACAACATCTGTAATGCCATCCATAACCTATCTCTGGTCTATCACTTTATTAATTCAATTGATTTGGTGACATAACATAATGAGCTGTGATGGCCAATTGGATTACAGCAATTGCCTCTTGTCCTTTGATCGCTGTTTCACACCGAGAATGCACCTATTTCACCCAGTTGTGAATGGGTACCTAATTCTGCAGTTATGGAAGTGAAGTCAATTTCAATCATTCTCCTTGTGTGCTGAGGCATATTGTTCATTGTGCTGTATCTACACAGCTCCTAGCTGGATGTCAGACCTCCAGAACTCACTTTTACTTTCAATCTTCCTGAAAACTCTTCTCAGTTGGAGATAACTTTAGAACCGCATAGTAACCAGTTTTAGTTTATAAGATATTTGCAATAAGTCACATTCCATTGTTGATTGATTAAAATTTTATATCTTTCCATAATATATGTCACATAACATTTTAAGCCTTCCTATTCTAATTCAAGGCTTTAGGTCGATGTGTGTTCGAAGAAGCACATGTTGCACCCTTGTTGCCTGAAGATGTGCAGGACTTTGTTCACAAGCTAGCAAGTCTGATGGTGAAGATGGTAGAATTTATGTTATCCAAACTGGCCTGTGCCTCACAAAATGGCTCAGGTAAGAAGATGTATATTTTCCCTTATAACAAAATTTTATTACAGCTGATCCCAACCAATTCACAGGGCTTTATTGCTACAAACCCCACTGATAGTAAACCAGTTGGACTTATAGTGAAAATGAAAATGGGGGTTAGGGTTTCATGTTACCCACAAGCTGCTGAATGCTAAGAAATGAGACAGACCTGTGTGTCTACATCATAACTGTAAGAAACATTTATGAATAAAGAGAAAATAATATATATATATATATATATATATATATATATATATATATAATTTCACACCTTTGTTATCCCTCAAATGAACAAACAGAGCATTGGATTCCTGGCCTGTCCTAACACTGTATTTGTGTTGTTTAATTCTAGTTGCAAGATCTTTACCTGTCTGGCCTAAGTAAAACATATTACATTCCTGTAAAGGAACTTTATAAATGCAACCAATTGTGTTCATTTGAGGGATAACAAGCATTGCATTGACTGGGATAATGCCTCCTCAATATTACCATGTAATTCAATTGATAGTAGGAACATCATAGAATCTAGTCTTATTAAACATACCGAAGCATTCAACATGAATTTGAGTAACGGCATGTACAAGCTGGACAATTTGTAATTAAGAAGATTTGTGATCAGGGTGAGAAGGCCGGGTCACTTGACCATCTGACCTGACCACCAACCGTTGTGTGCTATTTAAAGATTAGTAGGGTCATTACCTAATACCTGACCATTGTGGACCTGGTCTCACCCTCCTCTGTATATATACACCTTGATTTGTATTATCTTCTAGTCTGTACTCACCCCTGAAGATGTGAATTACACTTAAGCTTTGGGAACTTCTGTGTTTTCTTTTTCCTTGTGGTTATCAGCATATACCTAGATCACAAGACTCATACAGTATTTACTTGCATATATATATATATATATATATATATATATATATATATATATATATATATATATATATATGTATGTATGTATGTATGTATGTATGTATGTATGTATGTATGTATGTATGTATGTGTATGTATGTATGTGTATGTATGTATGTATGTATGTATGTATGTATGTATGTATGTATGTATGTATGTATGTATGTATGTATGTATGTATGTATTGTATGTATGTATGTATGTATGTATATATATAGTGGTTCTGTCAATCGAACTCAATCCCGCTTCCAGAAGGTCGTTCGTTAACCTAAACGTTCGTTAACCGAAACCATTGTTTCAATGGGTTTTTGGTATTGGTTCCAGCTCACCGAAAATTTCCTAAATTCAACAAAATGGTAGAAAAGTTCACTTACTTTGAGGTGTATGTAGAAGGCTCCTGGATGATGATGATGATGATGTTTTCACCCATAAAATTTAGCTCTCTGGTTTAATTCAAGATTATTTTCTTTAAATCAATGCTGCACTGCATTATATATTGTCAATATATAAAATATATTTCAAAATGACCAATAATTTGCTTGGAAACACAGACAAAAGCATTTAGTTGAAGAGAGTCTCAAGCAAGATGTTACCTCCAGTGAAAACAGAGAGAGACTGACGCCTGTTTGCTGTGTTAAGAGGCTGGATGCAGATTAAACTAGTCACTTTACTTTCAATTGTTCAATAATTGTTAAAATGACTAAAAATTGAATATTAAACTTTTAAAATTATTGAATAGTATAAACTTGATATTTACAAAATAGTAAGGAATTTAAGCCTCAGAACCGATTAATGTATTGGCGGACTGATACTAAAGCTGGTTGCCCGGTCAGTGCAAGCAAAAACATGTTGAGGTCGGTTCAAGAAGTTCAAGCTAATTTTTTCATAACCCATTGAAGATCCTTATGGAAGGCAGTTCGTTAATCAAATTACGTAACCAGGTGTTCAAGTAAACGGGTCACTGTATATATATATATATATATATATATATATATATATATATATATATATATATATATATATATATATATATATATATATATATATATATATATATATATATATATATATATATATATATATATATATATATATATATATATATATATATATATATATATATATATATATATATATATATATATATATATATATATATATATATATATATATATATATATATATATATATATATATATATATATATATATATATATATATATATATATATATATATATTAGAGGTTCATGCGCCATAAGCTCGTTGAACAGGCTTTGTGTGAAATATAACAAAGTCTAGGACTGCTTTTAGTATCCTGGTGGTCCAGCGGTTAGCGTGCCTCCCGGTCACAGTCATAGGCTTGTGGGCCGTGGGTTGAATCCTGGCGGGTTGAGGTGTTGATTGTATGTAGAAGTCCGCGTGCTTTATTGGGCTAATGAAATATATATGGATCCTCGTGTTTGAGCGGATTTGGTAAACGTTACTCTGACCACCCTCGTGATCTGGTGGTCCCCATTAGGAGTTCATGCGCATAAGCTCGTTGAACAGGCTTTGTGTGAAATATAACAAAGTCTAGGACTGCTTTTAGTATCCTGGTGGTCCGGTTAGCGTTCCCGGTCTGATCATAGGCTTGTGGGCCGTGGGTTGAATCCTGGCGGGTTGAGGTGTTGATTATATATATAGTGTATATATATATATATATATATATATATATATATATATATATATATATATATATATATATATATATATACAGTAGCCCTCGTTTGAACACCTCGGTTACGTAATTTCGATTAACGAACTGCCTTCCATAAGGATCTTCATCAGTTCTTAAAAAAAAAATTGGTTACAAGGTTCTTACGAACCTTCCTCAACATGTTTTCGTACACTGACCGGGCAACCAGCTTTAATATCAGTCATAATATTTATCGGTTCTAGGGCTTAAATTCCTTACCATTTTAGCAAATATGAAGAAGTTTATACTATTCAATAATTTTAAAAGTTTAATATTCAATTTTTTAGTCATTTTAACAATTATTGAACATAATTGAGTAAAAGTGACTAGTTTAATGCGTGCATCCAGCCTCTTAACACAGCAAACAGGAGTTAGTCTTTCTCTGTTTTCACTGGAGGTAACATCTTGTGAGACTCTCTTCAACTAAACGCTTTTTCTGTGTTTCCATGCAAATTATTGGTCATTTTGAAATATATTTTACATATTGACAATATATAATGCAGTGCAGTGTTGATTTAAAGAAAATAATCTTGAATTACACCAAGAGAGCTAAAATTTTATGGGTGAAATGGCGCCATGGGGTGACTTCTCTTCCACCCCAATGCCTTCTCTTCTCCCTTCTCCTCCCTCATTCTAATTCCCATATATATATATATTCCTTGAGTCTCTGAGTATTCAAAAAGTGAAGACATTGTATTCAAGGCAAAGTTGTCATACTGTACTAAAGGGGTTAAGCTATTTTAATCATTGGACTAAACCATTATACCTGGGGGTTGGCATCGTGCAGAAGGGTTTAATGGGTTAATTTTTTTTTTTACTGTAACCAAACTAAATGTCAACATATGCTCCCAGCTGTTGCTCCATCATTTGCTGAGATGGGAGATTCTGTGGAGCTCATCATCAAAGAGTGTGGGGGAAGCACTGCACCTGCTGAATTTTACCACAGTGAATGTGGAGAAGACATAGAAGAGAGAGATGAAGAAGCTGATGATGAGGATAATGCCATCTCTGGGGACCACCAGCTAGTTTTAGCGTGTTGCTGGCAAACTATGAAGGTTATTTATATTTATCTTTAATTTTATCCTGTCTCAATTTTCCAAAAATAAAACAGTAAATACTTTGATAAACATATTTATTGGATTGTGTATATTGTACAGTATTTGTGGCCAAAAGTTGAATGGTAAGAGATGGGGAGAAAATATGTCAGTTGGGTTCTGTATTTAACAGAATTTATTTTTGTGAAATGATCTGTGAGTTCAGACTCGTATGGGCCTTATGTTTGGCTGAATTGAAGTTTAGTGTATTATGTGCTGCTTTTTCCAGTGTTTGAATCTAGTTTCAGATACAGTATTCTGAATATAATTTGTGAACTGATTTCACTGCTTTTTGTGTTTCGTTTTCAGACCTGCTGTATGGTGTCCAGCATGTGTTTGTCACGCTGGTTAGATTGTCTCAGTGAGACTGTAATTGAGAAACTTTTGCGTTGTGTTGTTGTTCGTGTATTAACAGGCTACGTCACAAAGGAGCAATGGAGGCTGCTCGAAGTGCATACAACCAACTGTGTTATGTTCTACTTACTACCAACTCTAATATTGGCCAGCTTGTATATAGACAGGTGTGGTTATACTTGTTTAGTTTCTCATAATCCTTAAATTATATCTTATATAAAGTCTACTTCTATCTGTTATTAATAATTGTTCTCCAGTTCTTTTTCTTTTTGGATACACAATTTTAGTTTAAATGTACTTTGTTTGATGTAAATTGATATATAAACAACATACTCAGTTGAACTCAGGTAGTTAGATGGATTCTATTCCATGAGCCACACAATACACTAGATATTAATCTTGAGTCATACTGATCAGCCATACACATGAGTTCCATGCTTGAAAATCTCACATTTTCCTTGCTACTGACTTACTGTCAACAAGAAAATATTGGTTGCTGCCATTTATACCAGCTTCACAGGAACCATATTTGTATGTAGCAAGCTGAGGTTTACCTATATGTAGCTGTACACTTCATTTTTCATCTTCCCCATACAAAAGGCTCCATGGGAAAATGTCTCTAGGATGCTACCAAAATGGAGGCCATTACTTGTGTATCATTCTCTGAATCCCTGGGCTTTAAAAGGTCTTAGCCATCATTCCGTACTTGTTCACTGTTGAGCCAATAAGAGCTTTGAAACCGTGAACTGTTTTTATTTGGAGGTGGAGCACTACTACTGTGACTCTAACCTCAGCTTCAAGAAGGCCTTACTCGTACATCTTGATAATCCCCCAGGTCATCTTACACAAATAATTTCCACCATAATATTCAAATCATGTTTATGCCACTCAATACAACTTCCTTAATTCAATCAATTGGATCAGGATGTGATAGCAACCCTTAAAATGAATTAATGGGGGTCATCAACTCAATTGTTATAAACTAACCCATTGCAAGCAAGGAAAGTGGCTGTAAAACTTTGATGATGGACCATGTACAGTATGTAATTCTCTAATGTTACCCACTCCCTATGCAGAAAACAGTAGAATGTATTAATGAATACAGTAAAGTATATTAATTTATAATGTTCATTCTATAAAATTTATATTATTTCATTATCAGTTTAGTAATTATTGTATGAATGAAAACTTAATACAGTACAGAATTATCATCAAAAGATGGATTTTGCTTTGGAAACCTTTTGTTGTTTTTACTGATCTTGCTTACCAGCTTCTTCTAGAAACACTGCCTCTGGCATAAATGTGAGCAAACTGTAGAATTTCTTGTGCTGAAATATACTATAATCATTGTATTTACAAGGGAATAACTTTTATATATACATCATCCTTTTGTTACCTCTTCCCAATATAACTCAGGTGGCCAGAATTGTGAGAAACACAGTCTTTCTCTTCATTTAGTGTCATTCATGAATTTTACAGCAATCACTGATGTGCTCTGTTGTGGTGTTCTTTCACAATGTAGTTCTAAGATATTTATTTCTGATTTACTCCACCACTTCAAACAACCCACCAATATGGACATTTCTGTGTGCAGGTTGAAGAAATCTTGGATCAGCTGGAGGTTGGTGCTCAGACCTCAGTAACTCGTGAAGCAGCAGGGATGGCTATGATGATACAGGTTGCTTGTGGTGCTGCACCACCAACTAATGCTTCCCTCATCAATAACACAATCACCAAACTTTTAAAAATCACTCAGACAGAGGGTAGTTGTTACTCACATCAGTATCACATTAATTTATATACAATATTCAGTTGGGCTCTACTGTTGATTGGAAATAAGCATCTGACAGCTTTGTCGGCTATCCATGGACAAATTGCATTAATGTTTACCATTTATTGTATACACTGTACAGTCGGCCCTTAACATTCGCGGGGGGTTAGGTAACAGGATACCGTGAATTTGATATAAGTATTGCTATTGCTCCCCCTAAAAATCTGGCCCCCCATGTCCTTATTTACGTATATACCTGTGTGTAGTTCGAGTTTTTAAGACCAAATTATTTGGCAAAATTGGGGTCAACCTCTAAATGGGTAATAGTTTAGTTAGGTTGAAAATATTTACCAGTAACTACCAGTAAACAATGAAGCGATGCACCAACACATCACCAGCTGGAATTATTAAGTTTTAAGTTCAGGGCAGATCTCTTCTCGAGCCCAAAGTAGCCAAATCCATGGTATGGTAGCACAGGACAATGTAAAACAAAGTATCATTTATTAAGTTAATTTATAGATACTGGACATAAATTTTTGTTCATTACATTTGAAACATCAATCTTTGTTAATTAAATTTGAAACAAGAAAACTACGATACTGGATTTTCATTAAAATATTACATCACAAGTATATTTTACCTTAACTGTGACTGAATGAATATTCTCCAAGAATAAATATGGAAATGTAATATTTTTGCTGGAAAGAGCGTACATATTATAGTGGGAGTGGGTTAAAATCGCGAAAGACTTTCGCTTTCTTCGTTGTTCAAATATTTACCGTAATAAGCTTTTGAATGGTTTTCAGTTAAAAACTGTTGTACTCACTGTATTACAATAATATTCTATCCTATCATTAGCCTTATAATCACAACTGAAAACCATTGGCGATTACGGTAACATCTTTTGAGCGAAAGCGAAAGTCATTGCTTCGTCTTTCCACTATCATTACATCATTTCAGCATATTACATTTCCATGTTCTCAGAAATAAATGGTAGTTTTGTTGAAGCGTAATGTCAGTATTTAACATAAAATGCAAAAATAGCTATAAAACAATTAATACACCGTAATGTATTGGCTGGCATCTCCACTCGTCCCTGTTCCATGATCACCTCCTCCGCTCTATCCCTCCGCCTCCTCCCACATCGTCACTACTGTTGTATTACAATAATATTCTATCTAATTGACTTGAATAAATACTACGATACCATATTTCTGAATATTTTCATTAAAATCCATCCAAATCATTTTCCTTGCCATCGGCAGCACCAACAACTTCTCCCAGTCCTCTCCTTGAACAGGGCTAGAAAGTGCGTGTTTTGAATCGTTTTCAATTAAAAATGTTTATCTAGTATATTTTACCTAAACTGTGCCTGAATGAATAAATTCTTGAAATAAATAGTAATTTTGCTGAAGCGTGATGTATTTCAATGTAAAATAGGATGAAATACATAACGAAACAAAAAGACTTTACTAAGCTTCCGATGTTCAAGAGATGTTACTTCGTTTTTTAATAGTTTAGGTTAAATACTGTTATATTACAGTGAGTTCTGCTATAACGTGTTTTGATAGCAATTTCCTCTAACGCGATTTATGAATTAGGAGCGATATTTGTATATGAATGCTTGTTTGCTATAACGCGATTTTGCTTACTATTTCTCCAATTTTGTGGTATTAATTGTGGTATATAGAAGAATATCTCAAGAAGCGTTCTGGTGATAGAATTGGTGAGTTCGTAAAAGGATATAACATGGCTTTCGATGTTATCAACCTCAAAATCACCCTTCTCCCCCATCAAGTTACATTCATATTTTTTCAAGGTAAAGTGTTACATTTACTTATGATTTCATTATATAGATATAACATTTATTTAGACTAATGCTATCACAAGTATATTTTACCTTAACTGTGACTGAATGAATATATTCTCGAAATAAATATGGAAATGTAATATTTTTGCTGGAAAGACATTACATATTATAGTGGAGTGGGTTAAAATCATGCGAATTTCGCTTTTCTTTCGTTGTTCAAAATATTTTACATGTCCGCTTTGAATGGTTTTCAGTTAAAAACTGTTGACTTTCGTACTGTATTAATATTCTATCCTATCATTGTATAATCCCTGCAAAACCATTCGGCGATTACGGTAACATCTTTTGAGCAGCGAAATCATTATCATCTTTCCTATATCGTACATCATTTCCTCAAAAATATTACATTTCCATGTTCTCAGAAATAAATGGTAGTTTTGTTGAAAGCGTAATGTACAGTATTTAACATTAAAATAAAAATAGCTATAAAAACAATTAATACACCCGTAATGTATTGGCTGGCATCTCCACTCGTCCTGTTCCGCGATCATCCTCCGCTCTATCCCTCCGCCTCCTCCACATCGTCTACTGTTGTATTACAATAATATTCTATCCTAATTGACTTGAATAAATACTGATACCATATTTCTGAATATTTTATTAAAATCCATCCAAATCATTTTCCTTGCCATCGGCAGCACCAAACAACTTCTCCCAGTCCTCTCCTTGAACAGGGCTAGAAGTGCGTGTTTTTGAATCGTTTTCAATTAAAAAATGTTACATCACATTATATTTTACCTAAACTGTGCCTGAATGAATAAATTCTTGGAAATAAATAGTAATTTTGCTGGCTTGATGTATTTCAATGTAAAATAGGATGAAATACATGACGAAAACAAAAGACTTTACCTAAGCTTCCGATGTTCAAGAGATGTTTTTCGTTTTATAGTTTTTTAGGTTAAAATACTGTTATATTACAGTGAGTTCTGCTATAGCGTGTTTTGATACGCTAATTTCCTCTAACGCGTTTATGAATTAGGAGCGATATTTGTATAACAGCGAATGCTTATTGCTATAAACGATTTGCTTACTATTTCTCCAATTTTGTGGTATTAATTGTGAATATGGTAAAGAAGAATATCTCCAAAAGCGTTCTGGTGATAAATTCGGTGATGATCGTAAAGAAAGGATATAACACTTGACTCGATGTTATCAACCTCAAAATCACCCTTCTCCCCATCAAGTTACATTCATATTTTCAAGGTAAAGTGTTACATTTACTTATGATTTCATTATTAGATATGAATGTAACATTTATTTAGACTGTGCTATCCTTTGTGTTAGGCTAACTACTAAATTTTTTCGATTTCGAGTAATCTGCACCTAACCTATTTTCTCCATAAGCCCTGTTATTTCTATTCGCGATTTTCTATACACGATATTTTACAAGAACACAATTATCGCGTTTTGAGTTCTATGTACAATGATATTATATTCATACGTGCTTGATATACTACATTCACAGAAATGAAATATTTTTGCTGAAATGGCGTAAACAGTGGAATGTGGGACAAAATCGGCGAAAACGTCGCTTTTCTTTAGTCCGTTATCGCTTTTTCAAATGGTTTTCAGTTAAAAACTGTTGCATCACAAGTGAATTAGGATAGAATATTATTGTAATACAACAGTTTTAACTGAAACCATTCCAGCGATTACGGTAACATCTTTTGAGCGAAAGCAGTATTACTTTCGTCACCCACATAATACGTCGTCATTTCAGCAAAATATTTCATTTCCATATTCTCAGAAATAAATAGTACTTTTGCTGAAATGTGATGTATTCAATGTAAATTAGGATAAAATACATGATCAAACAAGAGACTTTACCTAACCTTCCGATGTTCAGAGATGTTACTCGTTTTTTAGTAGTTTTCGGTTAAATACTTATATTAGTATTCTATTCATACTGTGCTTGATATAATACATTCATGGAAATGTATATGTTTTGCAACTACAATGCTGATGTCAACACAAGTGTGGTTTTAGTAGAGACTGACTGAAGAGAGGAGAGCTATGCGTGTGTGTGTTGGTGTCACGTGTTCGATTGCCCGTGGCAATTTGAATGTACTTCAATTACTTCAATGTACAGAATATTCCTCTGGCGGGGCAATCCGTGTATTTGCGAATCCGTGAATGCTAAACCCGCGTATGTGAAAGGCCGACTGTACTGTACTACCCTGTGTGAGTACATATTAAATAATAATGTAGAATTTTAGCATTTTCTAATTTGCATAACTACTGGATCTCTTGTAAAGTTAAATACAGTAAGATCTTGTATTTCGCGAGTAATATAGACTGAAATAATTGCGCCAAATTCAAATTCGCCAAATGCAAATGCATAAACTAATGGGAAAAATAACAATATAGACTGGCCACTCTACATCAACCTTTGATTTTCCCATTTATAACTTCCAAATGATACAAATTCTGCCTTTATTGACCTGATTGTGCTTTCCGGAAACTAGTTTGTAGGCCTTCCTCAAGTAATTTAATCACACGCTGCTTATCCTACATTGAGTACTTGGTAAACTTCATTTCGTTATGATAGTCCAGCTTCTCCTTTTCCTTATTTGGCCACTTAGGTGGGTCTGTCCCAGCCCTACCAGCACCAGTAGGACCTCCAGTAGAGGTAGAGGCCATTATTTTGACTCGACAGGTGGTAGCACCACCCAAAGAAGCACACAATAACAGCCTGGGCGGTCGCTAGGATGGCGCGGGCTACAATGCGATAGTTGCATTCTTGTAAACCTCTTTTACGTTCACCACCAGCAATTCTATCATCAGAACGCTTCTTGGAAACATTTTTCTTACCTTGTCTTTCCATATTCATCGCTAACACAACAAAATTGAAGAAAACAGCGAAAATCACGGAGCAATCGACAGAAACCGCGCGATTCAACTGATCACATGATGTAAACAGAGAACGCTGGTGTAAACCGTTATTAGTCCTCACTGCGAAACATTCTTTTTACTTATTCTTTTCATACAGTATTTATGGAAAAAAAATAAAAATTTACAGAGTACCTCTCAAAAAACACTTCACAAACAAAAGACACGAATCAATTGAACATGTGATGTCGAACGTGAACTGTAAACATTGCATAACCCCGCACCACGCTTA